CTGGTTGCGGTCGAAGAGTTCGAAGAATGCACCTATGTGCATGGTTCCACCACATCCGCAGCGCTGCATGACCGCCGTGAACTCATCCCTGCTGAGGTGCCCCTGAGAGGGGAGCACCGATCTCACCAGCCATCCTCCCAGCGCAGGCGGGTGGTTTACGGACCACTCTTTGACGACAACCCAATGATTCCCCCTTGGAGGAGGAGGAGGAGGGGAGCAGGGGAGTAGGAGGGGGGGAGGATGAGAAGGAGTAGGAGTAGAGAGAGGACGAGAAGGGGGGGATGAGACTGGAAATTGGATTGGCCTGCCTCCAGGCAGGGAGGACAAACCCGAAAGAGAAGAGTCAAACGCTGTGGTGAGGGTGCGACTGCTGCGCGGCACCGCCATTCTGCAATGCCGCGGCGGACAGCACGACGAGTTTAACAGAGGCGGTCTTACCAAGCGGTATGCTAGATTCGGCGGCGAGCCAGGGTGGGGGGAGAGAGAAGGGGCGGGCCTGATCAGAAGACTCGAGGTCCCCTGGTCTTTTGGTAAATGTTCTAAGCCTTCCCCGAAGACACAGAAAACCTCTCAGAAGGCTCGAAACCTTCTGAGAAGCCCCGCCGGCTTATGAGAAGGCATCATCCTTCTCACTTTCCTCTCCCGTTGGCCGCCGATAGATAGAGACGATAGACAGATCACCCAATTCGTGGCAGAGGTGGAGGGCTGTGGGAACGACCAGCCCTAGCGACACGTCACGCGTGGGACCGAGTCCCTCCAACAAGCGAGGAGGAGGCGGAGGAGAAGGGGGGAGGCACAGAGGGGAGGGAGCGGGTGAGGAGGGGAGGGAGCGGGTGAGGAGGGGGGGGGAGAAGGGGGTGATTTCGTGAACCGAAACGGTGTTTGTTGTTTTCGTTTTGTTTTCGTTTTCCCTCGCTTTTGCCTCGAATCCGCCTTTACCGCAAAACGAAGTCGAAACGAAAACGGCCCACGAAATCGCCGAAAACACCGTCTAGGTCCAGCCCTGGTCCCGGACTGGGCGCGTGTCGGCCAGTTCAGAGGCAGAGTGGGAGTCTATACGAGTATGGCATCGGGACAAGAGGAGAAGGAGAAGGATAAGGGGGAGGGCCGGGGAGGGAAGAAATGCAGGACGACCCCAAACACTCCAGACCGTTCTCGAACTGCCTGGGGCTGACGACACCCGCTGGAAACGGACTGGTCCCAACATGGAGTATTCTAAATCCACAGGGAGAAGAATGAATGGAAACCAGTGCAAGCCTCGGAGAAGCCTCTGAGAAGAAGCCTATGAGAAGAAGCCGATGAGCAACCTCTGAGGAGAGGCCTCTGAGAAGACGCATCCGAGAAGCCTCTGGAAATGGGGTTCTGAGGAGGAGCCTCCGAGAAGCCTTTGCGAAGCCTCGTAGAAGCGTGTAGGAAGCCAGCCAGAAAAACTCGCCTCGGGGATACACCCCTGGGCGGGGCTATACGGACGCACCCCTTTCGAGGATCGGCGCCCCCCCACCTTCGTGCATCCTGGAGTTTGGCCTAGGTGTTTGTTGGTCCATCCGCAAACCCCGCTAGGTCGGCGATCGAGGTCGCCATGCACCCCGTCAGAGACCGCGAATATCGAAGAGTGGATGTCGCTCCCTCGCACGTCCCAGAGCTCTGCCCCAAAAATCCTGGGCCATTCGAAAACCCCACCGAGTCGGGGATTGAGATCGCCATAATTACCCCCAGTTGGAGGCCGCGAACGTCGAAGAATGGACATCCCTGCCTCGTGTGTCCCAGAGTGTGGCCAGACAATCTCTGGTCCATTCAAAAACCTACTAAGTCGGGGATTCATGGCACCATACTGCAGGCCTCCCAGATGGGGTCCGAGTGGATGAGGTCGAAGGATCACGCCACATCGCCGACGCATTGGCGATACACCAGCGACGTCGTCGATGCATCGGCGCCGTCGGCGTTCAGAACATTTGGCTCCACATCGAGCCGCATCGCCGATGCATCGGCGATACGGCGCGATCAACCGATCTTATCTACTCCGACCCCAAATGGGAGACCTAGAGACATACCCCGCATTGGAGACCGCGAACATCGAAGAGCTCAGGATGGCCACGCGGCCCAGCGTGGCGCCGAGCAGCACTCGACCTGCGCCCATCCCGCCCTCCTCCCCGTCGATCCTCCTCCTCGATCCGCCTCCTCGAGCCTCCCTTTCGAACCTCCTCGTCGAGCCTCCTCATCGATCCTCATCCTCCCCCGGAAGGCACGAGGACCCGAGCACGGCAGCCTGCAGTATGCCCGTGCGGCCCGCGGGAGTCCGACCAGCCTTCCACCCTGCACCTAGCCCGCCCAGGCCAGCCCTGGGGCCGGGATCGGCGGAGACGTCACCTCCTCTTTCGCAGTCGCTGAGCGCGTCACCCACACGCCCCTCCTGCATACTCCTGATGCTCCCTCCTCCTCCTCCTCCTCCTCGGCATCACCATCACCATCATCATCATCATCATCATCATCATCATCATCATCATCATCATCATCATCATCATCATCATCATCAGCATCAGCATCAGCATCAGCATCAGCATCAGCATCATCATCGTCATCATCATCATCATCATCATCATCAGCATCATCATCATCATCCTCATCATCAGCACCATCAGCACCATCAGCACCATCAGCACCATCAGCACCATCATCATCATCATCATCATCATCAGCATCACCATCATCATCGACATCAAAAGCATTATAATCAGCATCATCAGCATCACCATCACCCTCATCCTCATCCACATCCTCATCAGCAACATCAACATCATCATCATCATCAACAGCAGCAACATCAGCATCCTCATCCGCAGCGTCATCATCATAAACATCACGATCATCGTGAACATCATCATCATCGTCATCGTCATCGTCATCGTCATCGTCATCGTCATCATCATCATCATCATCATCATCATCATCATCATCATCATCATCATCATCATCATCATCATCATCATCATCATCATTCTCATCATCATCATCATCATCATCATCAGCATCAGCATCAGCATCAGCGTCATCATCATCAGAAGGCTACGCGGAGGCCCCCCTTTCCAGGGAGGGGGAGGGAAGGGGGAGAGGCCACCAATTCCTGCTTCGCCTGCCCCCCCCCGTGGTTCTTCCAGCGAATCTGTGGGCTCGCTCCTGCGAAGCCTTACGAAAACCGTCCTCGCGTTCAGCACTCTCACACCAGATCTGGCCGACCCGGGCCTCTGCCGGGCGCATGCCGCAATTCTTCGAACGCCCCTCTCGCCATCGCTCGGACGCCCGTTTCCCGTGCACGTCTCGGCTTCGCGCGTGCTTTTTGTTGCTCGATGGTCCAGAATGTGACTACCTACCAGACCACCCCAACCCAACCTGAAGACCCGAATTTCGGGTTGGGGGGGGGTAAGGGTTCCACATGTGCTTGATCGATGTTCCCCGACTCCCCCCACCAGAAATCGAGGGCAAACCTGAGCCTGCGGGTTGGGTTGGGGTGGTTTGGTGGGTGGCGATAATGGTCCGCAATCCTTCCAACGCCCCTCTCGCCATCGCTCGGACGTCCGTTTCCCGTGCACGTTTTGGCTTCGTGCGTGTTTTTTTGTTGCTCGATGGTCCAGAATGTGACTACCTACGTACCAGACCACCCCAACCCAACCCGAAGACCCGAACTTCGGGTTGGGGGGGTATGAGGGTTCCGCATATGTTTGCTCGATGTCTCCCGACCCCCCCCCACTAGAAATCGAGGGCAAATCTGAGCCTTCGGGTTGGGTTGGGGTGGTTTGGTGGGTGGTGAGGATGGTCCTCGATGGTGTTTCTTCGTGCATGTATCCCGTGCGTGTTTCGGTTTCGGTTTCGTGCGTGGTTTTTTGTTGCTCGATGGTCCAGGATGGTCCTCGATGGTTCTCGCCGAGGCAAAATGCGCACGGCCGAACGATGCTGTTGCCCTGCGCGCCTGCTGCGGAAAGGGGCACCGCCCGCGCCGGTTCCTGCCCGTGCGGGCCGCTCGCGCCCGTGGCGCCGCCCGCCCTTTTTTGCCGGCGGGGAGCCGCCTGGGGGAGCCCCGGTGGGAAGGGGCGGGCCTTCTCTGGGAAAAAAACACACAAACACACAAAAGACACACACACACAAAACACACACACACATACACACACACACAAAACACACACACACACACACACACACACACTGTGGGGAAAACATATACAGTCTGTGGGGAAAAAGCGCACACAGGGAAAACACACACACACAGTCTGTGTGGTTTTGTCCCCACAGTCTGTATGTTTTTTGTTCCACAGTGTGTGTTTTTCCCAACCATCCTGTGGTGTGGGGTCCTCGTTTTGAAGAGACGGTGCCCCGCGTCACTCCACTCCTCTCCTCCTCCCCCTCCTCCCCCTCCTCCCCTCTCCTCCCTGCGTTTCACCCACCCAGTACAGCGCTTCGTGGCCCCATAAGGAGCTCCACCGAAGGCTCCAGTGGCTGCGTTCGCACGGTGGCCTCGGGCCATTTCGGCACACCCCTCAGGAGGATCGTGGCCCCGTAGGGAGCTCCACCGAAGGCTCCAGTGGCTGCGTTTGCATGGCTGCCTCGGGCCATTTCGGCACGCCCCTAACGGCGTTTCGTGGCCCCATAGGGAGCTCCACCGAAGGCTCCAGTGGCTGCGTCCACATGGTGGCCTCGGGCCATTTCGGAACACCCCTCAGGAGGATCGTGGCCCCATACGGAGCTCCACCGAAGGCCCCAGTGGCTGCGTTCGCATGGCGGCCTCGGGCCATTTCGGCACACCCCTCACGAGGATCGTGGCCCCATAGGGAGCTCCACCGAAGGCGCCAGTGGCAGCGTTCACATGGCGGCCTCGGGCCATTTCGGCACACCCCTCAGGAGGATCGTGGCCCCATAGGGAGCTCCACCGAAGGCTCCAGTGGCTGCGTTCGCATGGTGGCCTCGGGCAATTTCGGCACACCCCTCACGAGGATCGTGGCCCGATGGGGAACTCCACCGAAGGCTCCAGTGGCTGCGTTCGCATGGCGGCCTCGGGCCATTTCGGCACACCCAGTACGGCGTTCCGTGGCCCCATAGGAACTCCACCAAAGGCTCCAGCGGCTGCGTTCGCATGGCGGCCTCGGGCAATTTCGGCACGCCCCTCACAAGGATCGTGGCCCCATAGGGAGCTTCACCGAGGGCCCAATTGGCAGCGTTCGCATGGCGGCCTCGGGCCATTTCGGCACACCCCTCACGAGGATCGTGGCTTCCACCGAAGGCTCCAGTGGCTGCGTTCGCACGGCGGCCTCGGGCCATTTCGGCACACCCCCCTCACGAAGATCGTGGCCCTATGCGGAGCTCCACCGAAGGCGCCAGTGGCAGGGTTCGCATGGCGGCTCGGGCCATTTCGGCACACCCCTCACGAGGATCGTGGCCCCATAGGAGCTCCACCGAAGGCTCCAGTGGCTGCGTTCGCATGGCGGCCTCGGGCAATTTCGACACACCCCTCACGAGGATCGTGGCCCCATAGGAGCTCCACCGAAGGCCCCAGTGGCAGCCTCCCTCATGGATCTTAGAGCCCTCTCCTGCTTTTGCTCCTCAGTCAGGGGGGCGCCGTCCTCGTCGTCGTCGGCGCCCGCGAAGACGGCCACCAACGTGTCCCTGAGCATGTCGGGCTCCGGCGGGAAGTTGTGGCCACATCGGGAGCGCGGGCGAAGATGTTATTCACAATTGCGGTAGTCACAACTGCGTATGGTTGGGTCTTTCGCCAGGCTAATTTCCCCACAGAGCTCGAAGTCCCCTGGCCTGGGAACAAGGAAAGGCGACACCAGCACCAGCATGGCGAGGAGGTGCGAGGAGGCGAGGGGAGTCTCCCTGGTGGTGTGGCCCCCCCCTCTCGCTCGAGACATCCCCAGCCTCCAGCTCGGGGAAGCATCGTGGGCCTCCTCCCTGGAGGTGGGCCTCCTCCCTGGTGGTGTTGGTATCGCTCCTCCTTCCCCCCACGGCCTTCTAAGAGGTTCTCCAAGCCGTCCCCAAAGACACAGAGAGACTCTCGCCGCCAATTGGCGACCCTGGCGCCGGTTCCTGCCACCACGCGTGGATCGTTCAGCCTTGAAGGATCGGAAGCACTGGCGGCTGATCGACCGTCAGATCGTTGCATACCTTTGGCCACGTACGGTGTCTTGGACTCGCTTGCCCAGGATTGGACTTGGCTTGCGGCGAAGAGGAAGCAGGTGGATAAGGCAGTGGACATGGTGAGAGGTTGCAGGCGGAGCAAGGCGTGTGGGGGGGGAAGAGTTGACGAGGAGCAAAAGCAGGTGGAACGACGAGGGAGGCAGGAGCAAGGGGGCAGGCAGGAGGATGGAAACATGAGTGACGACTGGGGCGCAAAGGGTAGGCTGATGACAACGGGACAGCGTGGCAAGGAGATGCTGGCAAGCCTTGATCGTATCCACTGCAGCTTGGATGTTCGGGTTCCTTCCCCAGAAATCCGAGGCGCACTGGATATACGAGAGAGCGTGATCCACCGCCGCTTTACTGTGGAAAATTGCCAACCTTTTCCTCCGACCCGTGGTCGCCCCCCCCCCCCCCTCCGAAAATCCCCCCCCCCCCCCCCTGGTTGAACGCTCCCCCCCCCCCCCCTCCCCCGGCAAAACCCCCCCCCCCTCCCCTACCCCCCCCCCACACCCCCCCTCCATCACCGCTCGAAAACCGGTGGTGGTCATACCGTGGTCGACACCCCCCCCCCCCCCTCCCTCCCCCCCCCCCCCCCCCCCCCCCCCCAGCCCCCCCCCCCCCCCCCCCCCCCCCCCCCCCCCCCCCCCCCACCCCCCCCCCCCAGCCCCCCTCCCCCCCCCTCCCCCCCTACTCACCGCCAGCAAACGACTCCGGGTCCCCACCACCGTCCGCATCACATCCCCCACTGGTGTTCCCAGCACCACTGTCCTCACCACCGCTGTCCCCACTGGTTCCACCACCGCCCCTACTGTCCCCACCCCCCCCCCCCCCCCCCCCCCCCCCCCCCCCCCCCCCCCCCCCCCCCCCCCCCCCCCCACCCCCCCCCCCCCCCCCCCCCCCCCCCCCTACTCCCGCCAAACGCTCCGGCCCCACCACCGTCGCTCACATCCTCACTGGTGTTCCCAGCACCACTGTCCTCACCACCGCTGTCCCCACTGGTTCCACCACCGCCCCTACTGTCCCCACCAGTGGCCCCACCACTGTCGCACTGTCCCCGCTGTCCCCAGAACTGTTCCCACCACGGTCCACTCTCCCCACTGTCTCCGCGGCCCCAACCACTGCCCGACTATCCCCACTGTCCCCACTGTCCCACTGACTCCTCCGCTGTCCCACTGAGCTGTCCCACTGTTCCCACCACTGTCCCCACTGTCCCCACCACTGTCCCCACTGTACCTCTGTCCCATTGTCCCACCGCCGTCCTCGCCACCGCCTTCACCACTGTCCCCACCACCATTGTACCCTCCACTGTCCCACTGTTTCCACCTCATTCCC